CCTTACCCAATCAATGATAAGACCACGCCTTCTCCTTACACCGTCAATGATAAGACCACGCCATCTCCTTACCCAATCAATGATAAGACCACGCCTTCTCCTTACCCCCACCCTCATGAATGCGATCTTCCATTACCCCCACCATCGAGAGACCACGCCTCTCCTTACCCAATCAATGATAAGACCACGCCATCTACTTACCCCCACCATCGAGAAAACCACGCCCACTGTGTGACCTTGACATTACCCCCACCATTAAGAGACCACGCCCACTGTGTGACACGCCCCTCCCCCCGACCACGCCCACCCACCCAGTGGTTGGGTAGGTGAAGGGGTGAGGCGGGGGGGGGTTCTAGAACNGTTATACACTTAAAAACGATAAGTTGATTTTTAGAAAAAATATTTGAAAATCCAACAAAATTACAATTATATTTGAACCCGTAAATCTGTACTTGCTAAAAAAAATAAAAAAGTTACTGGTGTATTAATCGAACAATGGGTAAAAAAATCAATACGAAAAATAATATTTAGAGAGTATTTTTGCTAACTCAGCGTCTGCAAAAGAAATATTAAATAGCAAAAATAAACAGTAGTCACGTTAGTAAGTGTAAGTAAAATGTTAGTGTTTTAACAAAAGTCACGTAAAATAATTTTAAATCCCAATGGACGTCTGAGAATGGTCATAACACGAAATTGTTTTTACAAAAATGATCANAAGAATAGTCATAACACGAAATTATTTTTACAAAAATGATCAACTCCAGGGAAGGGGATACTGTTGGTAAGAAATTGCTGAGGTTTGCAAAAGTATACTTAATAAAACCGAAAAATCATTCTTCTCCAGACTTGATTTTCGTCCGTCTGTTAAATCGTTACCTTCAAGCCTTTTCATCTTCAATTGTCAACACATCAAATATGAATCATTTGTGCTGTGTTTGCGGNGTCTTCAATTGTCAACACATCAAATATGAATCATTTGTGCTATGTTTGCGGTAAGACTTTCAGATTTCTGAAAGATCTGGAACGTCATGAACAATCTGTTCATAAACAAAAATTATACAGCTGTACAGTTTGCGGCAAAAATTTTTCCAGAAAGGATAATGTGAGAAGACATCAACATCAGACACACTTCTTGAAAGGTTGGTATCATGTATTATAATCATAACATGTTATGATCTAATTAAACATAATTNTTTGAAATGTTGGTATCATGTATTATAATCATAACATGTTATGATCTAATTAAACATAATTTAATTATAAATTTAATTAATAGGTGTCAATAAAGTATTGCAGTTACAATCTAAGAATTATGAAAAAATGTGTGAAAACTCGATCGGTGAGTAAAAATTTTATATAATTGTATTATAACTACTTTTACATTTTTATTTTTATTTAAGACACTGAGAGAAATATCCTGAATCATGGCTCAAGTACATCGGCAAACATTCATAGAAATTGTAAGCGTACATAAATAAATAATATTTATTTTACATTTATTTATAAATTTCTGTAATTATTTAATTTAGATAACGAAAATAACATAGTTAACTACGGAGCGAGTACCTCAAAAAATAGCAATAATAACTGTAAGTAAAAAAATTAATTTTACACAATTATGTTTATGTCATTCTATTATAATTGGTACTATTACTATTTGTACAGTATTTGATATCGATACAAAGAAAGAAAATGAATTAAATGCTAACGATTTCTCTACTTCTCGGGATAGTGATGATGAACTCTGTAAGTTTAAATGTAAAAATAAATTTAACTTTATTTCTATAATTATAATTTTTATTTAAACAGTGTTTGATGTTGCTGAAAAGATCGATCCGAAGGAAACCGAAAATATTANTGTATGGTGAGCATTTACATGAACTCCATTCTGACTTACCATTATGTCCTGAAAATATAGAACCACCAAATTCAAAATTTAAAAAATTAATTCCAAATTTAAATGATAAACAAAATTATGTTATTCACTATCGGACTTTAAAACAGGCCATTAGCTTGGGTTTGAAGGTAAAAAAGATAAATAAAGTACTAAAATTCGAACAATCGGCTTGGATGAAGGCGTATATAGATTTGAATACAAGAAAACGTATGGAGTCCAAGTCGACTTTCGAAATTGAATTTTTTAAACTTATGATCAACAGTATATACGGTAAATGTCTGGAAAACCCAGAAAAAAGAATAGACGTGAAAATAGTAACCAAGTGGGAAAATATTGGTAAAAGATACGGGGCAAGTGTATTAATATCTAAACCAAATTTTGATAGTGTCGCAATATTTGATAGCAATATGGCAGCCATTCATTTAAAAAAATTTGAAATTGTATATGATAGACCGATTTACGTTGGTTTTTCAGTATTGGAAATTTCCAAAACTATCATATACGATTTCCACTATAATTTTATGAAAAAAATGTATGGAAATAAGTGTAAGTTGTTGTACACGGATACTGACTCTCTATTTTACGAAATACAAACAGTAGATGTGTACGATGATGTCAAAAAAAATATAGAAAAATTCGATACGTCAACTATGACCCCAACAACGTGTATGGTATACCGCTTGTTAACAAAAAAGTTATAGGACTCATGAAAGATGAAATGGGAGGTAAAATTTTAAACAAATATATTGGGATATGCAGTAAAACATACATGATGCGCTGTGGTAAAGATGTGGGGAAAAAAAATAAGGGATTAAAAAAAAGTGTATTAAATGAGACAATAAGTGAAAATGACTATTTAAATTGTATAAGTTTTCACGATCTTAAAATTTTACGTAGCATGTATGTTTTTCGTTCATACAAGCATAAATTATTCACCGAAAAAATAAATAAAATTGCATTAGAATTTAAGGATGACAAGCGGTATCAAATACCAAACAGTCACGATACGCTACCCTGGGGTCATAAAGATATTCCTCCTCCTCTCCCTCCCTTGGATTAAAAAAGTAAATAATCAAATTTTATGTACCTCTACGTTATTATTTGTAAATAATTATTGAATTTATGTAATATTTGTTTATTAAATGATAATTTTTAAAATTTTAACCTAAAATAAAAGAATAGATAAGTTAATTATCAGTTTAATAAAAATTATTTGTATGTACTAATTAACCGTTGTGAATTAAACTTGCATTATTTAACAAACTTATGATAAATATTTATTTATTAATTTAATAAATTAAATGTAACTTTTGAAATTTTATCTTATGTTAAATGTGTAGATAAAAAATAAATATTAAAGTTGAAAATTATTTGTATGTAAATGAAAAAATTTATGTAATGACAATTGATCTAGAAATTGTAATTTTTAAATTTAATGTTACTTGTAAAAAAATTAATTTATTATCAGAAAAATTATTTGTATGTGAATATATAATAAAACATTGTAAGTTGGGTAATATACTCTTTACCATATATGTACTATAGAAATGTTAAAATATTTTACAAATGTATAGTATAAAATAATAAAACACACAAAACATTTAATGTAATCTATAAAATATTTATTAATTCATTTACAATTTTATAGGAAAAACATTTGATTTTACTATTTATATTTACAAAACTTATAAACAATTACTTTACATTATACAGTTATCGATTAACCATAAATATAATACTTTAACACGATTATTCGTACAACAATTATGATTGTCTTTATGAAATAAACACGTATCCTTTGATAAATCACAACTATCACGTAAAAGTATATCGATTCTCGGACAATCATAATCTTCCATATTGATTACTGGTTTGTTCGTAAATTTTTCGATAAACTTCTTTTTTTGCAAACCTTTAACGTAAAAATGTGTATACCGCTCACTGAGTTCATTCAGAATCGTCTGCAGGTTGTCGTAGTCGACATCACCGTCCGTATGATTTAATTTATGTTTATTACAGCATAACCACCTATTCACCCTCGACGATTTGGTTGTCATATAGAAATTTATAGGCGGTTTAAATACATAATGATCTAAACGGTCAAACGCGTACGCCGTCAGTTCTTTTACGATCAATTGACATCTGTAGTTTACGATACATTGTAAATCGACTACTAGTGACCCGTCCATTTTTTATGACTGTTAAATCTATACTAAATATTTTTTGTATATCCAACTGCTTTTTTTTAAACCATTCCATTTAACCAAATAGTTATCATTTTTACGTCGTAAAATTTTTTCTATCAGAAACGTATTTGGAAAATTTGTTTTTTTCAACTCCTCCCGGTAGAACGTTCCGTTAATTTGCGTACCGTCTTCATCTTTCAGCACATATACAACGGGCACTGTTTGTTTTATTTTATCTATGAAAAATATTTCATTAGACCAATTCTGTGTATATCCTTTGACGAAAGCGGCTTTATTTTTACTTATACGTACTGCGTCACCAATATTTAATATTTTTCGTGTAATGTTAGAATAATTCGGTAAACGATAAAACCGTACGCTATCGGGTTGTTTGGATGCTTGCGCTGGTGTTTGACGAATTGCCGAATGAATAGCATTGTTATAATCATTTGTTATTTTTTGTAATATACTCAACCATTGATAAGATCTCGAAGCTGTAAATTTTTTCCACATGCGTTCTTTAAGCGTACGGTTAAAACGTTCGATTACGGATGCCTTCACTGCAGAATATGTAGGGAAATTATGAACACCTCTCTTTATTAAAAAAGTTTTCATCTCTTTATTGAAAAATTCTAAACCTCTGTCTGTCGTTAAATACAATGGACATCTATTACAATTACTTATTATTGATTTAAACGCTGCTGTTACTGCTCTACCAGTTTTACTTTTTAATGGTACACACCATGCGTATTTTGTATACACGTCTATTACAGTGAGAATAAAAGTATAGTTTTTATTCTTGCTAGAATACTTTTTCATATCGACGAGATCCGCTTGCCACGTGTTGTCTTTGGTATAAGGTGTCACGATGCGTCTGGGAAATTTCTTTTTAGCTTGCGCATGTAACTCCTCTGCTATTTGGTCACCAACGGTTTTCATTCTATCACTCCGTTTTCTCTAAGTTCTTCTTCCAGGGATATTATTTCGTTATACACACCCGTAT